AGAAAAGCATTGATTATTATGTAATTGATAGTCTGTATTGCATTTTATACAATTTGAATTTGAAGAACATTAAGAACAATTAGGAATAGAGCTTGAACATTTTACACATTCATTTTAGCTTTTTAAATAACTTTCTTTATCACACACACACTTTCCATTCTCTAAAATAAAAGAATTAGAACATTTTTTGCATGATTTATTAGAGTCACACTCTAAGCAATTTTATAATTCATCACTACACTTTTTGCATTTATGTAAATCATCTAAATAACTTTAGTTATCACATTTTGTTTCTTCAATACATTTCTATTAATTTAACCAGTAACCTTTTTTACACTATAAGCATACACTTTAATCATTTTAATCACACTCCAAACAGTTTTCATCACATAGATCCTAAGTACAGAAAACAGTAAAACCTGAGATACCGAAATAAGGGTACTTATTTTTCTTATTAAATCCTATGTTCTCCTTATCCTTCATATAATTATTATTATTAATTATTTTTACATTTATATTCTAAATTTATCCTTTTGTTTTATCTATAGTATATGTTTTAGAGTACTTGTAAGTTCTTTCTTCTTTTGTTTTATCACCACACATATTACTCTTTTCATATTATTATTATTGAGATAGTAAAATATTTTCTGATTAATTATTTAATTAAATTGCAAAACTATCTAAATCTATTTCATCTATAAAATCTACAATTGTGAAACTAAATAAAAATATGACAGTTTTACAGTTATTTGAAGTAATTTCAAATTCTATTTAGCTATTAAACTTATTAGCTAAGAATCCTCCTAAAAGTTTCTTGTTACCACATTTAGTAGTAACCCTTTTGAATTCATTTTAATTTAGAAAGTTGCTTGTCTTAATATTTAAAGCATTTACTTCTAGATCAGAAAAATAATTATTATAAAATGCTTAAACAATTCCAATAGCTTTTAATAAAAATAAAATACATTAAAATTGTTTGTAAAAAAATTTAATTTTAAAATTGATACCTTTTAACTATCCGTTCTGAATATATTATTTATCAATTTAGCAGATTTTAGAATCTTATGAGTAGGTGTAACCTATAGGACAACTAATAACACATTCTCCATTAAAAATGTATTGATATTTTATATTACATTAAATACAAGCTCCGTTATCAAACTTTTCACAATTTTATGAATAGATACAAATCTTTTATTTTTAGTCATAAGGAAATAATTATTTTGATTCATCACATTTGTCTACACATTAACCATCTTAAAAGTAAAGATTACAGTCTGAACATTTTCCATTTATTGGACTATTTTTAGAGCATTTGGTGCATTAGTTTTCTTCTGGTCCACTACATTCTAAGCAAGATGGATGGCAGGGGAAAATATTTATATTTAAATTTTAAATACCAACAAATACTTTTTCTGATAAATCAATTGAAATCTCAATTTTCTCATCCTTGAAAGGAGTAAATTAGAACTTACCTTATTTATTTCTAAAAATTAATTAAAAATAAATTTTTTTAATAATTTACTTTGTGATAATTCAT